CTTAGGCAAATCAAATTTCCACTGCTATCTAAAAAGAAACTTTTATCAACACAGCCCCAAAACTACTGTTCATAACCAATGATTACTGAGGTCTGTACTTCCCATTTTTCCTGGCATAGTCTACTCTCTTTGGTATTTGATATATGCATATATAAAAAATTCAAATGGGGTCAGGAAAATGGTTACGTGCATAAGCACGTTAAGACAATACCACCTATGATAACTGAAGGACTGCTTTTATTTTCATTAAACATGAAGCAAAACAATAAAAATCAGACTTTTCACTTGAGATTATCTTTAGTTAGAAAGAAGTTCCTGCGATCTTCTGTCAGGGATTGTAAAGGCATTCAACACTGTCGCTGGTTTGAACGTCTGTTTGGCTGCCAATGGACTGTCCCCAAAAGAACATTTTTGCATCTCAATAGACTGCCCGGTATCAACAATCTTTAAACTATAAATTTAACACTGCTAAAGAAAGGAGGAAATAACATCCACTTTGTACTCTCTTGGTGTCACATTTACAAAGCAAACAAATCATCATACCGGTTTGCACTTATCTAGAACCCTGCATCTGACAATCTCAAACGGCCTGGCAAACGTTAATTAACTAAGCTGCCCAGCACTCCTGTGAGGACGGCAGGCATTATGAGCCTCTCTAAAAGAGAGATGAACAGAGATCCTGGGAGGCCTTTCCTTTGACAGTCAAAGGCTCAACTTGGAACTCAACTCCCAGAACTTGAAACTCTATTCCCACAGACCATGGCTGAACATCCCTACCAAAGTAAGCAGTGCAAAACGAATATGTTGAAACAGACAACTTTCCTAAATGAATTTACACAGCAAACTAAAATCAACCTCAGAAGAGATTTATTTTTCCCCTAGATGCGTGAAGTGAATGGACTGATCACTAAGGTGTTTGAGCCTATAGAAAATTACTGACTATGCCAGATTTATTAACAATAACATGGAGTAGTTTACCTGAATGCTGATTTGCTGTACACTCCCCCTACAGTTACCAACTGAATTAAACCATACTTCTGTATTTCACTGAACAAAAATGTGTTTAATATTGATAAAATCTTTGTGAAATTTAATGACAAATTTTTGTTCCGATTAATGTGGTCATCAGTTAAGACAAATCTTTCTATGTTACAATATCCAATCTAAAAAGTCAATTACAAGAATGAAATCTAGAATTTCTTATCCAGGAAACAGTAAGACTAATACAGTTGCCATCTGTATGAGTCTATTTACAAAATAAATAAATAAATACCTTTGTGTAAATATACCTTATAAAGGAAATTGGTCAGAAGAGGGTACATGACTGTACTGAGTTCTGACTACACTACGTTGCTTAGTTTAAAATGGGAAAGAAGTATCTACTTAAATATATATAACCAGTTAACTTTTGCTTTTAGCATAGGTAATGTTTAATACATTAAGTGTTTTGCAGAGTTTAAATGAAATTTTAAGTTTAAACGAAAACACTGCATTTTCAAAACATTTTCACATGATTATTCATATTTATCAAAGCTACTCTGGAAGTTTTAAAAGAGCAACAATGTTTTCATATAAATTTGTACTATTTCTAGCAAATAGTCTAAAGGTTTTAATATTTCTTCTTACTCATAAAAGACAAAAACCCAATGATTTTACAGAAGTATTGTATAGTTTATACATAACAAAAACCTAATTTTCAAAAACCAATTTACAAGATAACGCTTATGTTAGTGATCCCTCTGCCATATTCAAATCACAATGGTCAACACATATTACAAATACAATTAAAGAATTTTATAACAAACTCAATTCCATACTAGTGACAATGGAAAATATAAAAACATTCACTACCTGAAAATATACATGAATGATCTGCTATTGAACACTAAACTAAAAGCTGATCTATGCAAAAAGAAAAAAGGGAAAAAACAATAGAAATGAAGAAAACTAATGAAGAGAATATTTCAAAATTTTAGCTTTTCTCTGTGATCTTCTATTTCCTTCCTCACTTCAGAGCCAAATTTCACAACTAACACAAGTTAAAAACATGTATCAGAAAGATCGGTGTTCTGAAAGCAATATTATAATTATGTGCTTTATGACATGAACCTAACTACATTCAACCTATTCTTTAAAGAGTTTCCATTACTTATCAGCATAGTGTTGAACTGTTTTAAATTAACATTTTCTGCTGGCAAATTTTCCATACTTAATTCTTGATACCACTTTGTGCAGTAGTGAAAGTTGATAGTCAAGTTTTTACTTTTAGTATTAGAAACAATCTGTATAAATATATTTATAAATATACTTGCTCTGCTGTTAGATTTTATGTACTATTTAATTTAAAAAATCACTTGTAACTTACTTTCCTTTTTTAAATTGCTCACTATTTCTGAATAAACATGCCAAACAGCAATGTAATTTCAAGTTCCATTCTACTACTTAAAGGCAAATATGAATATTACATTCATATAATTCTATAGGTAGGTATATATTTACAGACAACTGTATTTTCATAGGAAACATATTGTTTGAACAATAAAACATTTGCATTATTTCTACTACATATTTATAAATTTTTACAGGACCCCTTCACTACTAACTACACTTCTACAGCTACAAAATTAAAGCACATTGTTTTTGTTTTTAGTAAACATGACAGTGATATTCTGCTGGGCTTCCCCATACCAATGGCAGAGGGAGACCTGAGAAGTATGTATTTAGTATGATAACTTAGCAATAGTACCACCAAAGTAGAATCCTTGTCAAATTCACAATCAGAATACACTCTGCTTCTTAATTCTTGTTTTTTCTTTTTTTTATTTTATTTTCCTTTTTTTTTAGTTTTATTTTTTCTTAATTCTTTTAGATGTCTTAAAAAGCTGATTCAGCTGATATGTGCCCACTACAAATGTTTAATCCAATTAATAAACTAAGTATGCCATAAATTAAATCAGCTATACTTCCCTATTCCAAATACCCAATAAAATTGGTGATTCCCAAAGCACTATTAAAGTACAATAAAAATGTAAATTTTAAGGAATTACATTTTACTAAAATCACAGAAGGACCCAAAACTCTACTAACATACACATTTAGTCAGCTCTCGAAATTTAGGAGATGATAGCCTTTAAGGATCACAGATCATACCGTTAAGAATCTGACTCTGTAGAACATGGGTAAGTCGCCCCTCACCGAAGATTCCCTGCCTCAGCAGCTAATGTGGGGGAACTGAAAAGACAGTTGCAATGATGCAAGAGAAACTTGAAGTCAGGGGAATAGGAAGTCGATGAATTGGAAAACACAATTTTTTAGAAAAGTATTTTCATCCCAGCTTGCTCGAAGAATGTTAACTGTCATGCTCAGGTTTTAGACTTCACTGTATAATAAATTATTTATCATTCCAAATTCCTAGTGTATATAAATAGTGGCAGCAGAGGTAATACTCCAACAACAGTCTAAGAGAGTCAAACCATCTGGTACCCATGAAGATGTCATAGATGAAGACAATTATAAGTGGGGGAAAAAAAAGGGTGGAGATCTCTAGTGATACAGAGGGAAGGCACCCAGTTATAACACATTCTTAAGATGCAATATGAAATTTAAACAACGTAGGACATTTCACTCCTGCCTTATAACCAGAACAACCTTGGCATACTAAGAAAATAATGAGCATTTACGATTATAAAAATGTAGCTCCACATATATTTATCTGAAAGAGCTCCCTGAATTGAACACCCTTTTAAAGGGCACAGAAATAATTTCTCTTCATTCCAAAGTTACTTATTATAAACTTGCTTCTTCCCTGCAGGAAGGATTCTTTGTTTCTTGGTGTACAGGGGGCATTCAAGCCCTTCTCTTAGCTCCAGGGCATGACTGCACACTGGAAAGGTAACAGCTTTTATAATTAACTGTGCATTTAATAAGGGGCATTTCTCAACTTCACTAGGGAATACCTGAGAAGCACAGATAGGCTTCAGAGAATCTGCAGGAAATGAAAGCAGAGTAGCCAAGCAGATACTGGAAAGAACTTTTCTCCACAGAATACAACCAGAAGGACTTCAGTAGTCTCTGACCTGCAGGGTCAAAGCATTGGGCTGGCTGAACTGTATTTCCTAACTGGCTCATTTGTAAAGGTTAGCTAGTTTCTGACCCTATCTCCTATTCACGAACAAAGCTTTGAAATTGTCCAGAAAGCTCAAAACTTTCACAGAGTCAAGGTGAAATGTCAAAGCACTGGTGCCTTAGGCAAAAAAGCACGCATTACCGATTGGGAGCTCATGAATTTTCAAAATCTGAAGTATTTCTTGACAATGCTGAGTCTACATAACATGAAAAGAGCAATCAAGGGTTACATCTTATTCAGATGTTTTGTACTGTTTTTCCACAAAGGACTATGTCTTTCACCCTAAAAGAGTCTGTAAAGGAAAATGCACAGTTCTCTTCTCTGGACCCTCTTCACACCATTCACACTTAAGTCTATCTCATTATTCCCTCTTCTTGAAGATTGAACAACAATAAGCATTGCCATTTGTGTATAATTACACTACTAATATCTCACCAAGGGCTCTGGATTCTTAGTGATTTAAATCTCTGCTAATTTCCTTATTAACCATACACTGTGTCACACCAACTTAAAATATAAAATAATTTAGTTTTTTTTTTTCACGTAGGTCAGATGTGCAGCCTTCTGGGATACGGAACCTCCTTTCTCCAAATACAGCCTCGTTGTTTTGCATAGTTACCAGGAATGATGGACCAACATTCAGTCTAAGCTACGAGTAATGACAAACAAGAGCTTGCCTATCACTGTACCAAGTATGTGTACAGTACATGCAAACACACATGAGCTACTCTCCACCACTTCTGACTTACACATACCCACACTGACACAGATCACTTAGTTTCACTTGGTAAGACATGATGCTAAATGTGGAGAACGTATGTTCCCTGTTTTCCCTCCAAGATATATGAATGATTTAAAAATTAAACCTTCCTACCCGTAACAGGGACTGGGATTCATCCTTGGACTTGTTTTCTCCGGGTGCAGGATACTGCTGGGCGAGGGCCCCGGACTTCTCTCCACCGGCTGGCACCCCCTGCAGGAATCCCTTGGTCTCCACAGCCAAGCCATAAATAGGTCGCGCCAGATGGGCAGCTTCTACATTGGGGCTATCCCTTAGAGCCTTCACCGGCTCCTGGGTGCCGGACACAGGCGTCAGAAGCCCCAGGCTCGCCTGAGTATATGAAGGACTGCCCCGCAGGATGTCTGCCCCTCTCCAAGCCATGTTTCGAAGGTCATCACTTGAACTCTCGGTCCAAACTTTCTCTTTGAGCCCGTCCTTATCTTCCAGCTTCTCCCTCTTCACCACACTCTCGGAAACTGGCTCTCCCATTTTAGAGTCTGGATTGAGCAGACTGTAGACCTTAAGGTCAATTTTGGGCTCCTCCTTGATGGTGGACACGGCATGACCGTCCTCTTCGCCGTTGGCTGTAGTGACGTCCTGTTCCTGGCAGTGAACAGTGTTGAAGTGCTCCAGTAGTGACTGAGTATCGGCAGCTGTAAAACTGCACTGACGGCATTTGTAGCAGCTGTGTGCTCTCCTGGAGAAGAAAACAGCCATTAGAAATCGAGCATTCTGAAGGGCTTTTTAATAAAAACAGTCTTTAAGCTCCTGAATTTTATCTCCTGTAATGTAATAGGTAGAATGAAATACAATATTCTCAACACCCAGAAATTGGAATGTAATTAACTGGCATTTTCAGTTCTATATAAAAAATGTAATGTTTCCTTTTGTTATATTAACAATAACAGGTACAGGCGCGCGCGCGCGCGCACACACACACACACACACGCACACTTTTGTGCACGTACTCCAGCAGTTCACATTTAAAACCGGTTGGTTTGCCTTTTAATTGAACGATTTGCTCTGTTCATTTTACCATGATCAGATAAGCATCAATTCTACGTTAATAGATATTCATATATTCCACACCTAATTTCATCAATGTACTTTTCCCTTTCTGCTTAAACTAAATTGAGATTTTCACTATAAATATACACATTTCTAGTGCTGGAGTGCTTTATACAGCTTTCATATGAACTAATATAAGTTCTTCCTGATGACAATGTTCTTCTCTATCATAAAATTTAAATCCATTTAGCCAATGAAACATGATCTATGTAAACTAGCAAACAAGATGTATTAGAAGCTCCAGATTTCTTAGAACAAATTCTAGCTACTTGTAAGGACTTGTGAACATTTAACAAACTGTGTGCCTGTTGGATGTTAAGCAGCATGCTAGGTGGGGTATGGATATGTTCACCGAAAGAATGTATGTGAATGTGTCTTTACATGTGTGTGTTTTTAAAAGGCACGAAACAATTGAATTTCATAGCATCTCCGGCTGTTAAAGACAGGACACTAACTGTTAAAATAAGACAAATGTTTGATTAACAGAGAAGCACGATACATCATAAAAGGCGTACCTGAGAGGTACACAAATGACTTGGAATGAGGAACATTTTCTTCTTGAATTTTAAAAATCTTCTATGGCTCTCTCAATAAATAGCATGTAAAACACTTGCTACTCCACTGTTAAAACTGTTTTATCAGTTACCACTTTAAAAGAAAATAAGTTTTGAGAGCTCTTACTTAACACTGCTGCAGAAATGCGTACTCATGTATTGACTGCAGATAATCACAACACCGCTTTGCCAAGCACTGAGTACACGTTGGTAAATCAAAGACACATAGTCTTTGTCCACTTGGTGCTTAGATTCTAGTCAGGAATGACAAGCTTCAAGTTAGACTATAAGCAAACTTGTAAGAACAAAGAGTGATAGGTGCTAATAATGAAACTGATAGGATGGTAACAGTGGAAGGGCTGCTTAAGTCGCCAGGAAGACTTTCTGAGGGAGAGATACAAAACCAAAGGATGGAAAGGAACTACCCCTGTTGGAAGTGGAGGAAGGGGAATGGAAGCCTATGCCAGCAAGTCTGAGATATTGAAGAGAGGCCACTGCTGCTTTAAAGGATTAAAATAGAGGAAGCATGTCAGTCAAGCTGGAGGGGTTGGAAGTGGATGTCTTCAAAGGTTAAGGCAAGCAAATGCAAGGTTATAAGCAGAGGACTAGCATGGTGAAATGCTTGTTTTTAATCACTTTGGGACTGTGATAGCTTCTGTATTGAATAACTCCATTTCCCTAGGAGACCTGTCTGATGGCTGAAAATCCAACAGGATGTTCCTATTTGATGGAAGCAAAATTCAAAGTGTTAAGTCATGTAACAAAATCTTTGCAGTATTTGTTGAGAATATTTAATGTGATACACAATTACCTTCTTATCATTAAGAGCTTACATTTGGCTGAATAAACATGGATATTTTACTTTTTATAGAAGAATGTTTTTGATCTTTTCTCCTATTTTTCTTCAGTCTTTAAGCAGTAAGGATAAAACAAAAGAAAATTCAACTAATGATAAATAATTTGATGATGAACTGACCATAAAATCAATATTAAAATTAATGTTCTCAAGCAAAAAAGGCCCAAACCTTAAGGAGATGACATCTATGACCAAGAGTAAGAATCTTACCACCAAAGTCAAGTCCAGAAAAACCCCAAAATAGGATTAAGATCACAAAGGAAAACAGGAAAACTCAAAATCTACATTCTATAACCTCTGGGAACTTCATCCAAAGAATCTTCTTACCAAAATTCCACTTGAGTGTGATCCAATGAGAGATAAACACCTAAACTCAAAATTGTACCAAAAAAATTGTCATAGACAAAGCTCAATCATATGAACAAGAATGGATTTATCAGAATGGTGAAAGCCCAGCACATCCCAGGAAATACCCTAATGATAAACCACATCATCTACTGAGTCATGAATATTAAACACAACCAAACAAAAAACTTCAGGAAGTGCATTCACCAGGTCTGATCAGACCTTCACCCCAAGACAGTTCTAAGGAGCTCGTGACCCACTGCAGTGCTGAGGTGATGGCTTCCTGGAGATGGCGGGGTCGCTGCTTGAAATCTATGATGGGATCCTTGCCTATAAATTGCCACTGTGATTTCTACGAAGACTGGTGTTGTGTACAAAACAAAAAGAACAAAAGTATAAACAATCCCAAAGTACAAATATTCCAAGAATTACAGTGATGTCAGTTCAAGAAATAAAGACAATTCATTCTAGGACAATAAGGAGAAAGTAAGAACATACAACAGAAGAAATACAAGATTCTAGAGCACCATGTGACAAAATTATTTTAAAACAGCAGACTCGCAGTTCTTACTGAAGGAGCAATTTAGCCCACTTTTAGAATCAGAATGCCTGAGTTCTAAACTTAGCTCTGAATTTTACTATATATGTGACTTTGGATAATTTACTGAACCTACCTCCATTTCCTCATCTGCAAAATGAAAATAATAGTGCCTCTTCATAGGGCCCTTATGATTACTAAGTAAAAAACACTTGTATTAAATAAATAAGGTTTAATTAGTATAAATCATAAAATTAAATAAAGCCCCTTTCTTCTGTGTGCATCTACATTCTGTGCTCTGTGCGAAGGGATTTAAACATACAAACTGGCATTTTGGTGTTATTCTTTTCATTTATCACATGTACCTTAATGACAACAAACTTCATTCTTAAAAACAAGTCTATTTCCTAAAAGTTCTTTTGTTTTAATATACTGCCAGACAGAATATATTCTACGCCCTTTCTGCTTCACCTAGTGGTTTGGTGTTCAATGGTGGCCTGCAAGATTGAGCAGTTCAGCAATCAAGCTTTACTATCTTTTCATTAATAATAGTACTCACCCTCCGAATCTTAAGACCCTGAGTAATATAGAAAGGGCATTACCCTGCTTTATTAAAGTCTTGGGGGGTGGGGGTACCTTGTGAGTCTACTCATTAGGGTGGTTTAGAACCACAATATAACTAGTAATGTATCTCAGTAATTAAGACTATGTGCCTTCAATATCGACTTACTCTGCAATCTAGAAATGTCCCATCCCTTTGCCAAATAAAGATGAATACATCTAACTCATACCAATTATTTAACTGGTACAACCTCCACAATGTACAGGGCTCTGGATCCCTGCACAGAGGGGATACTTTCACCCCAAAGTATTATACTGTAAGACAAGGAGTCTGAGGTTTATAGGTTTTCTTGTTTTAAGGTTCCTGTCCCAGTCGACAACTCCCTAACTCCTTACAGGTCTCAGCAAGAGCTGTTCTGATCGATCTGCTCCACAGAGAACCTCTTGATTCGACTTAACCTAAGCAAAACCTTCCATAATACAGACACTGGAGAACTGTCCAAAAGCAGAGAATGGTAGGGATGGGTATAAAGCAGAAAGAAGTCAGAAACTACAGAGAGATGTTTTCAGTGATAACCAGGTGCTACACTGAAAAGGAAAACACATTTTAACAGAAAAGATATTAAAATAAGGTTGTAACAAGTTTAACTCACGTCGCTTTTCTTTTGAAGAGTTCAGAGCACTCACAAACCTGATCTCACATTCCACCAAAGTATAAAACCCATTTTAAGATAAGTGAAATGGAAAAAGAATGGCCTGTCCCTTTAGTGTACACATCAAGTCAAGAAGAATACAGGACTTCTACCTCTCAGATCAGTGTTCTATATTTCTTTCTCAGCTGCCTAAATGTTTAACTTAATGCAAAAACATATGAAATTACAGACAATATTGTAAGCAAAAACATGAAGGGCAGGGAAACTGACAACTAATAGCAAAGAGACTTACTAATGCAAAGGTTTGCAAAACAGACGTGTGGGTAAAGGGAGGGAGTTTCTTAGCAATACAGAATGCACGGTGCCTCTGTGTTCCTACTGAACCAGAACTCCTGGGCATAACCAGAGAATCTGAATTTTTAACAAGGTCCTCAGGTAACAATGCCAGGACCAGTATGTACAAACTACATAAGTAGATATATCATGATTCTAAACAACTTAATGAACACATTCACAGACACTCCTCACCCCTTAACTAATAAAACACAGGTAATACCCTTGCTATCTTTTTGTTTTCTTGAATCTTAACATTCTGGATGTGACAAATATTAATGAAAAATGAGAGTAAAATAAATTGTTTAACTGCTCAATCTTTCAGGGCACAGAACATCATGAGGTAAAGCAGAAAAAGCAATTTGCTACATAGTATTCTACAGGCCTGAAAATCTCTTCTTTCTCCTTTTAACACCAGTCTTAAATGGTTGAAAATATATTTAAAAAAACACATTGCTCTATTTCAAAAGCTTAGAGCAATATAAACTTTTCAATAACCTATACTAATATCTAGACCAGACTTCAAAATCTAACGTGTTGGAATCACCAGGGAATCTTGCTAACATTCAGATTCTGATTTAGGAAGTCCATGGTGGTACCCAATATTCTTCAGTACTTACACAATCCCAGATGATACAGATGCTATGCGTACCCAGACCTTATATAGCAAGAATCATGAAGCCATGGTCAAAAATAACTTCAAGATGGGTATTAGTCTGGAAATGAACTCTCAGTATATATGCTCAGCCCTTGATAGACCATTCCCAAAGGAATTCTTTATGAGCAACA